ACGGGGGATTCGTTATCAGTCTGGGGGGGTCACGATAACCGTGGGAGTGTCGCGATAACGGGGGGAGTCGGAATAACGGGGAACAGTGGCACAATAAAGGGTAGGGGTCGAGGTGATGGGGAAGGTCGGAATAGCGGAAGAAAGTCGGGATACTGGGGGGGTCATGCGTCGTGATAATCGCGGGATCCAGAGTACGAAGGATTTGGGTTAGGAGGCGAGTGGGCGCGGTAAAAGAAGGGTTCCCAGTAAATGGGAGTGCGGGCATGGCGGTAACGGTGCGGGCTGAAACAACGAGGGGGATCGCAATGGGCGGAAGATGTCGAGATAATGAGGGAAGGGTCGCAATAACAAGCCCCCTACCCCCCCAATCTCCGCGGCGCGCGGGACCAGGGGCGTTCCCGTCCCAAAGCTCCGCCTATTTGAGGGCTCCGCCCTCTTCCCCGCCCCCTGCCGTCCCCTATGAAAACCGCCGCGCGGCGCCGCCGCCGCTCCTCCGCCGCCGCCGCGCCTTGGTCCTACTGCGCAAGCGCCGAGCGAAAACCCCGCCCCTTCCCCGGCGAAGCCCTGCCCCCCGCGGCAGGCCACGCCCCCGCGCCCCGCCCGCCCGCCCGCCGCCGCCATGAGCGGGTGGGCGCCCTACGTGGAGACGCTGCTGGCGGACGGCACCTGCCAGGATGCTGCAATCGTCGGCTATCGCGACACCCCTGCCGTCTGGGCCGCCGCCCCCGGCAAGACCTTCGCCAATATCACGGTGAGAGGCCGGGACCGGCAGGGGTGGGGGGGGCAGCGCGCCAAGGCGTTTCCCGCCCAAGCGCGCGGAGGGCGGGGGGACCCAGTGGCCTATGAGGGGCGGGGCTGACCTCCCCCCACCCCCCCGCGACGGGCTCCGGGAAGGACAAAAAAGGTAGAAAAACGCAAAAGCGCCAGCGTGGAGCGCGGTGCGGGGCGGGGGGGGGCTCGGGCGCTGCCTATACCCGGGGACCCGGTGCCGGGGAGGGCCGGTGCTGGGGGGGCCTGGAGGCGGGGGGGGACCGGCGGCGAGGCAGTCCCCTCCTTAACCCCGCTTCGAACATTTTGGGGGGGTCGCAGGCGGGCGGGGAAGGGGGGGGATGGGCAAACACCACGTGGTTCGACGACCTCCCTCCCCACTTCCCATCTATTTTATTACAGTCCTCTAAGTGGATGCCGGGGGTCTCGTGGGGGGGGGGGGGGGGGTGGAGGAACCCCTCCCCACTTAAAAACCCTCTAAAAATGCGCGGAATGCGGCCACTTCCCGGTGGAGGAGGGGCGGCCGGGGCTTCCTGTGGGGGAGGGGCGGCGCGCGCGCACCCCCTCCCCCCTCCCCACTTCCCCCCACGGAAATAGGGGGGAGGGGAGAATTTTGGGGAGGCTCATGGTGGGAGAGGGGGGGCTACCGGACCCCTGGTCCCTGTTTGGGGCTGCCCTCATGGGGGTCCCCGGACGGCTGGGTCACCCGAGGGGCTATGACGGGGTTCTTGGGGGTCCCTGGATTTGAGGTCCCGATGGGGTTGTCTGGGTTAAATGTGGGGTCCCAGGGATGTTTGTTTGAGGGGTCCTTTATGGGGTTCCTGGAGGGGTTAGAGGGGGTTGTTTTGGGGTTCCTGGACGGGTCGGCCCTGGAGAGTCCCGAGTTTGGGGCGTCATGGGGATCCCTATATTCTCGGGTCATCGTCGGGGATCAGGGGTCACAGGAGTGGAGTCCCTGGTGGGAGTCATGGAGGTCCCCGGACACCTGGATCCCTTTTATGGTCATGGACTGGGAGTTACGAGAGTCCCTGTTTGCTGAGTGCCCTACAGGGGCCCTGCCTGGGGGTTTGGTATCTGCGCTTGGTTTTGGTGGTCCCTGGGTCGTGAGCCTTTGGGGTCCCCTTGACCTGTCCCCATCCTGTCCAGCCTACAAAAGTGGTGGGCCTTGAGGGGGGGGGGGATTATGGCAGTCCCCAGACAACTATGTTCCTTATGGGGTCACAGGTGGGTTTTGGGGTTGTTTTTTTTGGGGTCTGTTTTTTGGGGTGCCCTTGACCCTTGTACCGACAGCCAGCGGAGGTGGCGGCACTGGTGGGCCCCGAGCGGGGGCCACTGCTGGTGCAGGGGCTGACGCTGGGGGGGCTGCGCTGCTCCGTCATCCGGGACTCACTGCTGGTGGAGGGAGAGCACAGCATGGACCTGCGCACCAAGGGGGCTGCTGGAGCGCCCACCTTCAACATCACGGCCGCCATCACCAACAAGAGTGAGGGACCCCCTGGAACTAGCCCCCTGTTACGACTACACCACACCCTGCGTCATCCCCATCACCCTCTCAGCACACCCCCCACCTTCAAAATCACCAACAAGAGGCACCTCCCCTGGAACTGCCCTGTATCATTGCCCCCCTCCACCCTCCTGTCACCCTGTATCACACACCCCCCCCTCCCCGTGCCCCCACACCTCCCTGACACTTTTTATCACCTCCTGACCAGTTCCTGTCACCCTCCATGACCCAAATCCTCTGCAGGTGCCTCCCATGTATCTTATGGCATCCCAGTGTCACTCTCAACATTCTCACTCCTCGGGTGCCCCCATCTTTCCCAGTGTCACTCCATGTCACCCCGTGTCCTCTCCCCTGCACAGCTCCACCCGGCCACGTCACCTGCTGCCCTGTCACCTATGTCACCCCTGACCTGCTTTCCGTTAATGTCCCTACCCCCCCTTGCCCCAGATGCCCCCAAACTACCCCTTGCTAAGTCCTGGAGTCCCTCATCCCAGCTGTTGCTTCCTGCCCTTCTTCCCCCTTGACCCCCTGTCTGTCTGGGGATTGATGGGGGTTTTGGGAGGGTTGAGGATCACCCCCCCCACTTTATACCCGTACCCCTGCAGCCATCGTGCTGGCCATGGGCAAGGAGGGCGTCCACGGTGGCTGCGTCAACAAGAAATGTTATGAGATGGCCAATCACCTGCGGCGCAGCCAGTACTGAGGGGCTGGGGGGGACCCCTGGGATCCCCCCAGGGACCCCTGGACCCCCAGGGACCAGCAGGAGCTGCCAGGGACCAGCAGGACCACATCCCCCACCCCCTTGTCATTCCCCCCAATCCCCGCTGCCGGCAGCAATAAAGTGCCCTTGTGGGGAATCGCTGTGGGTCGGGGATTTCAGGGATGTGGGTGCTGTGGGGGGCAACCTCGATGTGTGCCCGGGGCCATTGGGTGCGGCTCTGCCCTCCACCCTGGGTGGAGGAGGCCTCCCCAGATACCCGGGTCCAAGGGTGCTGCCGTGCCCTGGGGGACAAAGTCCACGATGGGGCAGCACCTGCCCCATGATGTCCCCCGCCACTCCCCCGACTCTCAGGAGGCAACGTTGGAGGGCAGAGGCTTTATTGGAGGGCTTCATTCATGGCAGGGGCTGCATCAGCAGCAGACGGGAAGTCAGTTGAGGGTGCAGGCAGCAGCTGGGGGGTGGTAAGATAGAACAAGGGGCTGGGGGACATCTGGGGGAAACAGAAGGGGCTGTGAGGAATTGGGGGACAGGAACTCTAGATATTTTGGGAAGTTGTGAGGCAGGGCCCCAGATGTTCAGAGAGTGGTGTGGGGCAGAGGTGGGGACTGTGGAGGTGGTGGGATGGGTTGATGTGGGGCAGAGGTGCGGATGTGGGGGGATGGGGTGGGGCAGAGGGAGATGGGGGGCTGATGTGGGATGAAGAAGGTGGTATAGGGCAGAGATGGGGATGTGGGGTAGAGGGGTAGATGTGGGGTAGGACCAGACATCCGGGCAGGCAGGCGGAAGCTGCTCTGGTCCCGTCTAGTCCTTATAAGGGCAATGTGGTGGCTCTGATGCTTCCTGTTCCCCCCCTCACCCCCCCCGGGCTGACTCACAGATGGGGGGAAGGGCCCGCAGTTGCCCCACGGGGGGGAATTGGGGTATCAGGAGTTGGGCCGTGGGTGGATGGGGTGTCCCTCCCCCTGTCCCCTCTCGCCTAGCCGGGAGGGACCCAGGTGTTGGGCCCCCTACGTGCCTTTGCCCCTGCCACGAGGTGACCCCCATGGCTGTGAGGTTGGGGCATACCATCACTCCATCACTGTCACCTGTGGAGCCATGGCACCCCTACATCTTGTAGGACAGTGTCACTGCCCCCCTTCCACTCTATCTCAAGGTGATTCTGTCACCTGTTAACATCTGTGTCATCCCTGGCACCGTGTGCCCTCTGGTGTCCCCCAACAACCCCCAACACCTCAGGGCTACCCCAAAACTGGGGGAGGGGCTGTAGGGGAGGGACAGGGTTTGGAGGGGAAGTGCTGGGGAGGGGGCGGGGTGCCGTACCTCACCAGTGACTCCCAGTTAGAATCAGTAGTAGGGGTCAGTGGGAGGTGCCAGTATGAGTAGAGGGACTCCGCATGACGCCGGTGCTGAGTGATGCACCTAAGATTGCCCCCAGCAGACCCAGACTGTCCCCAATTCCTCTCAGTGCACCCAAGGGTGCCTCCCAGCGATCCCAAGTGTGTAACAAGTGCTTCCCCGCATACTCACTAAGCCTTCCTGACAGCGCCCCCCAGTGTCACAAATGCTTCCCAATATCTCCCAGTGCGTCCTAGTACCCCCAGCACTCACCGCCTAGAATAGAACGGGACAGGCATCACCCCACGGCGCTGAGCAGCGGTGGACGAAGTGCGTGAGGTACCGGTCGTCGACCCCTTCCGCCGCCGTCGCCTCCGGCTCCCCTCAGGCCCCCCGAGATGGCGAAATATCGCGAGAGAAGGGTAGGGCTACTTAGTACCCGCCTCTGCCCTAGCCAATCCTCTTGGTTACTGAGCAATTTCCCTTCCCGCCAAAACATCCTCCACCAATGAGAGACGTGAGGGCGGAACAGGTCCCCGGGGCTCGCGGCCACGCCCCCTCCCCTTAGAGGCGGTGCTGCCCCTCAAAGCCACGCTCCCCGCTCGGGCCTCCGCCCCGGCGCCGCGCAAGCGCCCCGCGCAGGCGCACTGGCGCCGCGCCCCCCCGAGTCACCTTGGGGCGCCGCCGGTGCCGGACCCCGCGCCCCCCCCGCGCCCCCGGTACCAGGGCCCGGCCGTGATGGCGGCGGCGCCGGCGGCCGAGAGACCCAAGACTTCCCCGAAATCTGTGAAGTTTCTCTTCGGCGGCCTGGCCGGGTGAGAGCCTCCCCCCTCACACCCCCGCTCCTCGCCAAAACCGGGATCCCCCTGCCCAGACCTTTCAGGTCACCCCTAAACCACCCCCGATGCCGCTCCTAACCTTTCAGCCCCCCGCTCCAAACCCTTTAATATCCCCCGATCCCAATCATTACCCCCCCATAGCCTCCCCCAAATCCCTTCCGAATCCCTCAAATGCTTCCTTCCAGACCCGCCACTGCCCTCCAAAATCAATTCAAATCCACTGCACCCTTTCAAACCTCCCGAAATCCCATAAATCTCCCCTCAGACCCGTTCTGTGTCCCCCCACAGATCCCCAAAGCTCCTTCAGACTTCCTCGTCACCCAGGTTTCCTCTGAGAGGGCTGTGGGTGGATTTGGGGAGCTGTGGAGACGGGTTCAAGTATTTTTGGGGTCCCCCGACCCCCTTCCTTCAGGATGGGGGCTACAGTCTTTGTTCAGCCCCTGGACTTGGTGAAGAATCGGATGCAGCTGAGCGGGGCCGGGGCCAAGGGCCGTGAGTACCGGACGTCCCTGCACGCCCTGGGGTCCATCCTGCGCCACGAGGGACTGAGGGGCATCTACACGGGGTATGGGCCCCCCAGAACCCCCTTGCAACCATCCTGGACCTCCAAATCCCTGGGACATCTCTTGAACTCCCGAACCCCCTGGGATCCCCTTGAAACCTCTTGTCCCTGCATGCCCTGGGGTCAGTCCCATGCTGCAAGAGGTTGCTGGTCAGGGGATACAGATCCCTCAAAATTCCAAGCACCTACGAGCCTTAAGCTCTTTCATGCCCCCCCATTTTTGGGACTCCTCCCTACTCTCTGTGTCCCCACAGGCTGTCAGCAGGGCTTCTACGCCAGGCCACCTACACCACCACCCGCCTGGGCATCTACAGCGTCCTCCTGGAGCGTTTTGGTGGTGCTGATGGAACCCCCCCTCCATTCCTGGCCAAGGCAGCCATGGGAATGACGGCAGGGGCTGCGGGGGCCTTTGTGGGGACCCCGGCTGAGGTGGCCCTCATCCGCATGACAGCTGATGGCAGGTGAGCCCCCAACCGTACAACAAGTATCTGCGTCCCCACCTGCCCCCCCAAGTCTGCTTTATTTACCAAAATCCCGTTTTTTTGCCCCGAATGCCAGGCTGCCCCCTGGTGAGCGCCGCGGCTATCACAACGTGTTTGATGCCCTCGTGAGGATGGCAAGGGAGGAAGGGGTGTTCACGCTGTGGAGGGTAAGTGGGAGCTGTGGGACCCCAAGATCCTCCCATGACTCCCCTGCTGCCTCCCCAAGGATCTGGGGGTGTCCTCATGCTCTGGGGGGGCAAGCTGGGTATCCCCCAAACTCCTGTCTCCCATCCCAGTGCTGTGTCCCCAACTGTGGTGAGGGAGGAGAGCATGGTCTGTGGAGGAAAGTGGGAATGCAGCGGGTGATGTGGCAGGGTCTGGGGGTGCACAGGACTCACCCAAACACCCTGTTTTCCCATAGGGCTGTATCCCCACCATGGCCCGTGCTGTGGTGGTCAACGCTGCCCAACTTGCCTCATACTCCCAATCCAAACAATTCTTGCTTGACTCTGGTGAGTTCAGGGGGTGGGTCTGCCATGGGGAAATCCTAAATCCTAGTCCACTCTCCCCCCATTCCCCTCTGATGTTTTGGGGTGCCCCCAGGGCATTTCCGTGACGACATCCTGTGCCACTTCTGTGCCAGCATGATCAGTGGGCTGGTGACCACGGCAGCCTCCATGCCCGTCGACATCGTCAAGACCCGGTGGGTTCATTTGGGGGGTAGCCGGGTTGCTCCCCTGCTCGCCCTTAGATAATCACAAATGTGGTACATGGGTCACCCCAAAACCGCCTGTTTAACCCCAAAATTTCCCCCAACAGGATCCAGAACATGCGGACAATAGATGGGAAACCTGAGTACCGCAATGGGCTGGTGAGTGAGCAGGGTTTGGGAGGCAACACCATTTGGGAGTCCCCATCAATTTAGGAGGGGCTTCTCTGTCATTTTGGGAGTTCCCTTTCAACTGGGGGGGGGGGGGTTTACATGATTTTTGGGGTGTTCCCTGTCATTGGAGGCAGGGGGAAAAATTCAGGTAATTTTGAGGAGATGCCTATAATTCTGGGGAGCTCCCCTAACATTTTGGGAAAGTTCCCCGTTATCTTGTGGGAGGGAGGGGCGATCCCTGTCATTTTTGGAAGGTTTCTCATAGTTTTGGCAGGCTTCCTCATCTTTTTGAGTGCATCCATGTTATTTCAAGAAGGTTCCCCATTCTTCTGGAAAGGCATCCATGCCATTTTTTAGGTTTATTTTTGGGTGCCCTCCCCCTGACACACTGCTCCCCCCACAGGACGTGCTGCTGAAGGTGGTGCGGTATGAGGGCTTCTTCAGCCTCTGGAAGGGCTTCACCCCCTACTATGCCCGCCTGGGCCCCCACACCGTGCTCACCTTCATCTTTCTTGAGCAGATGAACAAGTGGTACCAGCGGCTCTTCCTCAGTGCCTGACACCCCCCGGGGGGGGCGGGGGGGCGGTCGGGGGAATCTGACCCCATCCCGTAGGCTCTGAGGGCGTCTGACCTCTCCCTCAGGTGCTGTGGGGGTGCCTGACCCCCACCCCACCAGGGGCTGGAGGCTAGGTGACTCTATAGGAGTGCCTGACCACCCCCATCAAGGCTATGAAGTGGCCCTGGGGCCCTATGGAGGGGCCCTGGGCCTGATACAGGGGCACTGGATCCCTCCCATGGGGACAGCAGGGGATGTCTTGTCCCTACGGGGCAGCCCTATAGAGACTGTAGGGTGCCGTCCCCATGTGCCCCCCTCCCACCCCTCCGGGGGGTTTTGTTACCAGCCAGTATCAAGGTCACAGCGTGGGGCAAGAGCCCCCCCCAGATTCCCCCCCCCCCCCCCCACTTCCCCCAGCACCCTCCACCCTGCGCTTTGTTAATGAATCATGGATCGTGATCATGTAATTAAAGCAAGACCTACAGACATTGCAGGGTGCTTTATCTTTGTCACACCAGGGGCGGGGTCTGTCTGTCACGCCGTGGGTGTGGCCTTGCCCCCACCAGAGACTGTGTGACAGCAGGGGACTCCAAAGCTAGACCCCAAGAAAATCCACCAGAGGCAGCAGAGCTGTTTATTGTCTCCCCCGCCAAATTCGGGGGTCCTGGCGGGGGGGGGCTCTCCCTCAGACAGGGGGGCCACCATCACCCCAGGGCAGGTCAGAGCCGGCCAGGACTGTCCGTTCCACTCCCTCCTTGGTGATGGCCGCCAGCCTGATGACCCCCCCACTGGAGCCGTCCCGCACCATCGCCAGGGCCAGTGCTGGGGGAACACAGGTAAGGAACCCCCCAAACCATTCATGTTCCCAAATCCCCAAGACACTCCAAAACCCCTCAGTGCTGCCCAAACTCTTCTGTGCTCCGAAATCCTCTTCCAGGACCCCCCAAAGTCTTCCGTGTTCCACAAATCCTCTCCCAAGACCCCTACACCACTCCATGTTCCCAAAATGCCTACCCAGGACACACCCAAACCCTTCAATGCCAGCCAAACTCCTCTGTACCCCCAAATCCTCTCCCAGGACCCTTCCCACCTCCCACCCCAAATTCTCCAATATCTCCCAAACCCACCACGGGCGACGAATTCCTGGCACTGGGAGCGGCTCATCCCAGGCTGGAATGTGGCGTCCAGGAATCCATAGATGTAGGAGCTTCCTGAGCCCCCCACAGCGAAGGGCTGGCGCAGGAGCAGCCCTCCCATCGGCACCACGTACACCTGGGGGGCACAGCGGGGGCTGTAGGGTGCTCTGGGGAAAAGGAGGGGGCTGCGGGGCAGAAAGAGAGGACTGCAGGGAAAAGATGGGGTTATGAGGCAGAAAGGAGGAGCACTGTAGGGCAGAGGTGAGTGCTGTGGGGCAGAGAAGGGGATACCAGGAAGCAGAAGGAGATGTGGGGCAGAGTGAGACACTCCTGGACAGAAAAGGGGACACTCGGGAAGAAAAAGGGACATGCTGGGACAGAAGAGAGGACAGAAAAGGGGACACCGGGACTAAAGGGAGCCCACCTGTCCCCCCCGCCGTGGGTCCCAGCCAGCGACAATGATGCCGGCGCTGAGTTCCTCACGGTACCGGTAGCAGCTCTGCTGGAAGAGGCGGGCGGCTGTGCGCACCCGCGGCGGCTCCTCCAGCTCCACGCTGTGGGGCAGGGCCAGATGTCGGTCTGGGGGTTGTCCTGACAGCCTCCCTGACCCTACCCCATGCCCATGGGGGGTACCTGTGGAAGGCCAGCTGATAGGCCACAGCATCAGCCACTGCCTGAGTGTCGGCTGCTGAGCCCGAGCGGCAGCAGAAGATTCGGTCGTGGACGGGGGTCAGTTTGTCTGTCACTCGGTTGGCTATGTAGGACCTGCGGGACACCGTGGTGATGTCACTGTGGCAGCAGCCTGGCTGCTGGAGGTGACAGCAGTGTGATGTTACCATAACAACCCCCCAAGGTAACACTGCAAGAGGAGCAACGCGCTGGAGATGCTAAGAAAACCCTGGAAAGCAGGTGTTGGTCCCAGAAAGATTCTGGAATTTCTTTGGGCACAAAGTGCCAGGTTTTGCAGGCATGGGACTTAGAAATATAGGATTTGCTGCAGTAATAACAACAAAAAGAAATAATAGGGGAGGAAATCCCGGAAAGCCAGGGATAACCCCCAGGGAGCGCTGGGAAATGGATTTTACAGGATTACCAGGATGGAATATCAATAAAAATAATTCAGGTTTTGTTCAAAGATCTGAGGCACTGGAAAGAATTTTTCCATATAATGGACCAAAGATGATAACAAATACAGTGTGGGAAGTGTCCCATATTTTACAGATGAATCAAGAATTACATTACTTAGAAGGATGCAGGAAGCCCTTTGGATTGGGTGATTTTAACACGGGATTTAAATCCAATTTTTATCACCACGCCGGGGAATGGTTCTGTGGGATCTGAAAACTCCCCCTAAAAGAGGAAAAACTATTTGGCCAAGAAAAAATGGGATCTGTGTCTCCACAGAAACTGGGACCAAGATCACGAACTTTAACCTGAGAATGTTTTTGCAGGAATTATTCCACATAAATAAAGGATTGTTGGATAATTTTGGTGAAGGAAAATGCCTGTCAAGTGTGACATTGATATCTTGAGATACCTGGCACCCTGCCTGCAGCTTTGGCTTCCCAGTGACATCATCATGACACCGTGACAAGAGTGACAGCCCCAGCACACCGTCCTGGATCCCCGTGAGGGCACTGATGATGTCACGGCCCATGGCACTCACCCGGTGGTGGTTCGGGAGTCGGCCCCTATGACGACGCCTCCATCGAACTCCACGGCCATGATGGTGGTCTGGGGGGAAGGCAGGGAAGGTGTGCGCTGCAAGTCCCGGCCCCACAGCAGCCCCTGCCTCACAGAAACCGCCTTCCCACTGCAGATCTCGCCTCACACAATTCCCCTGCCGCACAGAAATCGTCCTTCCACAGAACTCCCGGCCGCACGGCAACTGCCCCCCTTCCCAGAGCAACCACACCGTACCCCATAGCACCCCTCTCCAGGGGGGTCCCTCTGACCCCGTTCTCCTTCTCGCACTCTTCAGGGAACTCTTTGCTCCCCTAGCCCTTGCCCCCAGCCCCTTCTGCCCCAAACCCAGCCCCGACTCCACCCTCAGCCGCACATCGAGGACCCTCTGCCCCACAGCCCGCTCCCTCCACCCCATGGCGGGTTCTCTTGGTCCGTAACACCCCCAGCCCCCGTAAGCCCATCGCGACTACATAGCCCTCCAAGTGGGTCCTCCCGCCGCCCCCCGCCCCACTCACGCCGGTGCTGACGGGCTCCGCCGTCCATTCCCGGTGAGGCCCGGCGGGGCCTGACCCAGCCCGCGACTCCCACACCGTCACCGCCGCCATCTTCCCCGGCACTTTTCGGCAGCACGATCGGCACGGCGGCTTTGGGTGGATGCTTTACGGCAGTTTGGCAGGAGTGGGCAGGGCGGCGGCTGTGCTTTATGGCAGTATGGTGGTGACCGTGTGCTTCCTCGGAAATAAAACTCTCGTTTCTCTCACGTCCCGGAATTGTGGATGAAGACGGGGCGGGTGCTGCTGCAGGGGGCTACCTGAGGATACCTGAGCGGGGAGCTGCTGGTGGGCAGGGGCCGAGGGGGGATTTCCGGGGGGTCTCTCAAGGAAGGATGGTTGGAATATCTCGCAGGGGCTCGGGGAGCACCCGGATGCACCTGGGCATGGAACTACTGAATGGGATCTGTGAACTGGAACCGGATCTATGAAATGGAACTTTCAGCTGGAGCTGAAATCACTGTGGGGCTGGGATAGAGACTGAACATGGCATTGCCACTGTAGGGTGAGATAACTACGGTAGGATTTATATGCTGAAATCACTGTAGGTCAGTGATATTGATGTTGGGGCAGGGTCAAAGATCAAGGGTTATTGGTCAAAGGGCCGAGGTCAAGGGCAAATGGTTGAAGTGAAAAGTCAGGGATTCAAACTTCAGGGGTCGCATGTGAATGGTCAGGGTTCAAAGACCAAGAGTAAAGGGTCAAAGATCCAATGTTACGGGTTAATTTTCCAAGGTTATGTGGTCAAAGGTCAATTATCAAGGAATCAAACTTCTAAGGGCAGAAGTCAAGAGTCAAAGGTGAAGGGTCCAAGGTTAGAGATCAATGCCAGGGAGTTGCAGGGAAGAGGAGTATTTATAAACTGTATCCATATTTCCGTGTAATTCTTGGTGGTTGGATTTTGTTTGTGCTTGTCAGGATAGGCCATAAACGGGCCCCTGAACTCTCGATCGGTGTGTTTTGACATCAGAAAAGCAAGTTTTCCACAGAAAAGCAAGTCAGTAATGATTCTAGAGAAAAAATTAGAGGTGATGGCTTATGTTGCATGGGGAATTACATTGGGAATTATGAAACTCAGACACGTGGAATTTTGGAGGTGGAATTCCACTTTCAGCCTTGAGGAAGAGGGGAGGTGTCCTTATCCATAGAAAGGAAAGGCCAGTAACCCACTTGTAAAATACCAGAACAAGTCTTTCTTTTCTTCCTTTGTCCTTTCTGCTGCCACTCCCTCTTTCTGCCTCTGGCCTGTGCCTGGGGGTTCTGGGGAGGGATTTCTGAGATCTGCCCCCCTTTCTTGTTGCAGCAGAGCTCCTTTTTGGGGGGGGTCTAGACCTGGACAGGGTTCCCATAAAGCAAGGTGCTGCTGTTCAGGGCAGTTGGAGTTGTTCTGTGCCTTCTTTGGGGGTGAGGAGCAAAGGCTGAGGGGGACGGGGTGGAGACTGGGGGGCTCCCGTGTCCCTTGGGGCACGCCGAGGTCCCCG